AATTCAATAGGGTCGTGCTCGGGCCCTAATAATAAATGTAGGTAGTAATTAAATTATACAAGGAGACATAAATGTATATTTTAATTAGTGCCTTTATTTATTCACCTTTGTTATAATTACCTTATTTATTTATTCTCCGTATAATCTTCAACTTTTTATTACTAATTTTTAAATGTATTTATTTATTTGTGTGTTTTTAATTTTTTGTCTGTTTTATTCTTCCTTTGTATTATTTACCTATTTATTTTCACCCATGGTATTATTTTGCCTGTCCTTTTTAAATTTCTGTATGCATTTCTGCTCATTATGCAAATGAGGAGGGGCTGTGTCTCAAGGGGTCATCTTCTCTGGACCAGTCAGACAGGAGAGCTCTAGGCCTACTCTGCCTGCAGACATCAACGATCTTGCCCCTCATACAGTCAGATGGCTTCCTTCAGTGCGCTGAGGTGTTTAACAACTCTGAAGACAATACTACGCCATTTTCCTTCTCTTTTCACGTAGACGCTCCGACAGACAGTGCTTTCAGTTTGTTGCATGCATGGACACAGAACTGCGGTATAGGGAGAAGCACACGGTCAGCTGGCTGCAGCTAAATCTGGAGTGCACTCGTATTCAATTCTGTATGGTAAATTCAGTTTTAACGGAGCAGAGCGAGCTGACAGGCAGAGTTAGAGACTTTTTCTGTCCGTTTCTCTCTTTACAAAGACGCATGTTGCAGTCAGAGTCTTCTCTGAAGAGGGCAATGAAGTCTCAGTAGTACCCGATGCGAGCAACATACAACACAATTTATCAAATTACACAACGGATATCAGTATGAAAATAAGATTGATTGGATTATACTCACAGGAAGTATAAAACCTGTTACATGCGTCTATTAAAAGTAAAGTAACACAAAAATGTCAGGGAAATTACTTTACTTAGATTAAGTACTGCAGTTGTACATTTGAAATACCTTCCTATTCTGATAGGAAGCCTTCTTGAGGTGGTATAAAACATTTCTTCTTATATTCTGATTTGAGTTGTGGACAACTATGACCACATGAATTAAAAAAATTAAACATTTCACTGCCCAAGTCAGCTATAACACAAGTCTTCTTCATTAGACTACATGCTGTACAGTATTTGTGGACAGATTTTGTCCCAGGATTTATTATGCATTTCTTCTTCTTCGTTGCATGATTTAGAATAATAAGGTGAGAAATGGGTCTGTTCTGAGTTCATCCTGCACTGCAGCAGCTAATAAAGTCCATTTAATCCCAAAAAGGCTTTTCTTTTAGGCAGGCTGGAGCAGAAAACAACTCACCTTTCTCAAGTTGTACAGTAATGTCACATGTGTATGAAGGTAGATCAAACAAGCTAATCTTAAATGTCAAAGTGGAGAGGAGCCTAGTAGGCCTATTTATTTTCATTCATTACACAATATGAATAAGCTATGCAGACAGTTGTAAAGAAAGAACATCTTCTTCTTCGGTTCTCTACTTGTTATAGTTACACAGTATTAGGGGTGTGGGCTGTATTAAAAGTATCCACTGTTCTCCCATGCTCTAACACAAAGTAACGATGAAATGTGTGCTGTTCTCACATTCTTCCTCTGTATGTACACATAAACAACAAGGCAGGGAAATATAAAAGGAATTTATTTTATTGTTTGGGTACATTATTGTTCAGTGTACATGCTCACATCTGAACCAAACTTTACGTGCTTGATAACTCTCCCACCCCTCAGACATCTACACACCAATACCGATTTATATTCATAGCGGCAAGTGCTATGTAGCTCCACATAGGGGACACAGGAAGTGACATATAACACCTTCATGCGGCGTTGGAACCACGTAGCAAATTCACAGCCGCACCGGCAGAGCTCGAGAATATGCAACGCGGCCGGCTCACACCCAAGCAGCGTTGGGCGAGGGCCCGCCCAACGCTGCTTGCAGCTTAATTTTGAATATTCTTCATTTCTGTTTTATCTCTGCATTTAGGCCATTCAGGCAGTGAGGACCCACGAACTGAAGGCCTACACCATCTATGTGAAGCCTCCTCCACTGGAGCGCCTAAGGGAGAGCAGACAAGACGCGTACATCACCACCAACTACTACGTCAACCGACCGTACAAGGTAAGCTCCCCCAGGGCCATATTTTATTAATTTCATTTGTTTTAAGACCACCTTTCTTAACTATTTGAACAATATTAATAAGAAAGACCTGATAAGGTTAGCCATTAATTTTCTTTATCATACTTTAATTACATTCCACACTGATAAGAGACATTTTCAGTATTTGTTAACAGGGCCAGTGCAACATTTCTCTGAGCAATTATTTTCTTGAGTTTTTAAATGTTAGGTTAGGTTTTGTTATTTGAACATGGAAAACTAAAAGAGCATGATATTATGGAGGGAAAAGGCTTTTAAAACATTAAGACATTAAAATCAAGGTTAGGGGAGACACCTAAAACTGTTTTCTACCCCCCAGTCAATTTTCAAGTCATTTGACAATGTGAATCAAGGCTTCTAAATTTCAAACAGATACTGTAATAGAGGAGAAGTGGAGTTGAGTACTATTGGCCCTGCTTTTAGGTGCCGGAATTACCATGATGCAATTCAATTATCATTAAAGCTGCAAGCAGCGTTGGGCGGGCCCTCGCACTTGTAGCGTGTCTGGGTGTGAGCCGGCCGAGTTGCACATTCTGGAGCTCTGCCGGTGCGGCTGTGAATTTGCTACGCGGTTCCGACGCCGCATGAAAGTGCTATATGTCACTTCCTGTGTCCCCTATGTGGAGCTACATAGCACTTGCCGCTATGAATATAAATCGGTATTGGCGTGTAGATGTCTTTGGGGTGGGACAGTTATCAAGCACGTAAAGTTTGGTTCAGATGTGAGCATGTACACTGAAGTTACAACAACTTCCTGTGTCATGGCGAAGAGTTGATCTTTGACGCCACGCCCACGCCCATTGACAAAAATTCACAAATAGCACAACTTTTCATCTTCAATGCCTTTAGAAGGCACAGCAGAAATTTGAGGTCGGTCGGACTAAATCCCTAGGAGGAGTTCGTTAAAGTACGAAGTGTGTAAATCATCCAAAATTTGACGTAAAATTCAAAATGGCCGACTTCCTGTTGACTTTAGGCTATGGGTTCTTGAGGCTTTTTTGTGCGTCTTGATATGATACATGTCCCCAGAACATTTCGTACATGTAGGTTGAACGTGAACGAGGGGCTAATCTTTTCCAATTTTCTAGGTGGCGCTAGCGAGTCATTTTGCCACGCCCATGTGCGAAACTTGTAGAATACGAAATTTTTCACCGGTTCTGACATGTTTGCAAATTTTGGTGAGTTTTCGAGTATGTTTAGGCCATGTCATTTGGGCTACTTTGCAGAAAAAAAAAATAAAAATTAAAGCTGCAAGCAGCGTTGGCGGGCCCTCGCACTTGTAAGCGCGTCCGCGCGTGAGCCAGCCGAGTTGCACATTCTGGAGTTCTGCCGGTGCGGCTGTGAATTTCCTACGCGGTTCCGACGCCGCATGAATGTGCTATATGTCACTTCCTGTGTCCCCTATGTGGAGCTACATAGCACTTGCCGCTATGAATATAAATCGGTATTGACGTGTAGATGTCTGCGGGGTGGGAGAGTTATCAAGCACGTAAAGTTTGTTTCAGATGTGAACATGTACACTGACAATAATGTACCCAAACAATAAAATAAATTCCTTTTATATTTCCCTGCCTTGTTGTTTATGTGTAGATACAGAGGAAGAATGTAGAACAGCACACATTTCATCGTTACTGTGTGTTAGAGCATGGGAGAACAGTGGATACTTTTAATACAGCCCACACCCCTAATACTGTGTAACTATAACAAGTAGAGAACAGAAGAAAAAGATGTTCTTTCTTTACAACTGTCTGCATAGCTTATTCATATTGTGTAATGAATGAAATAAATAGGCCTACTAGGCTCCTCTCTACTTTGACATTTAAGATTAGCTTGTTTGATCCACCTTCATACACATGTGACATTACTGTACAACTTGAGAAAGGTGAGTTGTTTTCTGCTCCAGCCTGCCTAAAAGAAAAGCGTTTTTGGGATTAATGGACTTTATTAGCTGCTGCAGTGCAGGATGAACTCAGAATAGACCCATTTCTCACCTTATTATTCTAAATCATGCAACGAAGAAGAAGAATGCATAAGAAATCCTGGACAAAATCTGTCCAAATACTGAAGCATGTAGTTGATGATCAAGACTTCATGTGGTCATAGTTGTCCACAACTCAAATCAGAATATAAGAAGAAATGTTTTATACCACCTCAAGAAGGCTTCCTATCAGAAAGGTAGGAAGGTATTTCAAATGTACAACTGCAGTACTTAAATCTAAGTAAAGTAATTTCCCTGACATTACTGTGTTACGCTGTAACGGTTTTATACTTCCTGTGAGTATAATCCAATCGGTCTTATTTTCATACTGTATATCCGTTGTGTAATTTGATAAATTGTGTTGTATGGTGCTCGCAGGGTACTACTGAGACTTCATTGCCTCTTCAGAGAAGACTCTGACATGCGTCTTTGTAAAGAGAGAACGGACAGAAAAAGTCTCTAACTCTGCCTGTCAGCTCGCTCTGCTCGTTAAAACTGAATTTACCATACAGAATTGAATACGAGTGCACTCCAGATTTAGCTGCAGCCAGCTGACCGTGTGCTTCTCCCTATACCGCAGTTCTGTGTCCATGCATGCAGCAAACTGAAAGCACTGTCTGTCGGAGCGTCTACGTGAAAAGAGAAGGAAGACATTGCTGGTAGTATTGTCTCAGAGTTGTTAAACACCTCAGCGCACTGAAGGAAGCCATCTGACTGTGTGAGGGGCAAGATCGTTGATGTCTGCAGGCAGAGTAGGAGCTCTCCTGTCTGACTGGTCCACCAATAGCAGAGAGATGACCCCTTGAGACACAGCCCCTCCTCATTTGCATAATGAGGCAGAAATGCATACAAAATTTAAAAAGACAGGCAGAAATAAATACCATGGGTGAAAATAAATAAGGTAAATAAATACAAAGGAAGAATAAAACAGACAAAATATTAAAACACACACATAAATAATACATTAAAAAAATTAGTAATAAATAAAGTTGAATAAACAAATAAGGTAATTATAACAAAGGTGAATAAGTAAAGGCACTAATTAAAATATAACATTTATGTCTCCTTGTAATTTAATTACTACCTACATTTTTTATTTACTTTATTTTTTGTGTATTTAATTGGATGCTTATTTATTTATTGAGCATTTATTTATTTCTGTATTTATTTCTGCTGTGTCAGGATCGGTCCTCCATAACGGGGTGGAGAGTTATCAGCACGTAAGTTTGGTTCAGATGTGAGCATGTACACTGAACTTACAACAACTTCCTGTGTCATGGCGAAGACTTGATCTCTGACGCCACGCCACGGACACACCCATTGACGAAAACTCGCAAATAGCACAACTTTTCATCTTCAATGCCTTTAGAAGGCACAGCACAAATTTGAAGTCGGTCGGACTGAATCCCTAGGAGGAGTTCGTTAAAGTACGAAGTGTGTAAATCATCCAAAATTTGACGTAAAATTCAAAATGGCCGACTTCCTGTTGATTTTAGGGCATCGCTCCAAGGCTTTTTTGTGCGTCTGGACAAGATACACGTACCACAGAAAATTCGTGCACGTAGGTGAAACGTGCGGCGGGGGCTGCTTCGTTAAAAGTCACCTGTTGCCAGCAGGTGGCGCTATGACTGTGGGTGAATGTCAGCATGTACATGTGTTCAGGGCGGGACTCTCATCCTAGATGTACAGTTTGGTGCAGATGTGAGCATGTACACTGAAGTTACGACAACTTCCGTGTCATGGCGAAGAGTTGATCTTTGACGCCACGCCACGGACACGCCCATTGACGAAAACTTGCAAATAGCACAACTTTTCATCTTCAATGCCTTTAGAAGGCACAGCAGAAATTTGAGGTCGGTCGGACTAAATCCCTAGGAGGAGTTCGTTAAAGTACGAAGTGTGTAAATCATCCAAAAATGGCCGTAAAATTCAAAATGGCCGACTTCCTGTTGACTTTAGGCTAGGGTTCTTGAGGCTTTTTTGTGCGTCTTGATAGATACATGTCCCCAGAAAATTTCGTACATGTAGGTTGAACGTGAACGAGGGGCTAATCTTTCCAATTTTCTAGGTGGCGCTAGCGAGTCATTTTGCCACGCCCATGTGCGAAACTTGTAGAATACGAAATTTTTCCGGTTCTGACATGTTTGCAAATTTTGGTGAGTTTTCGAGTATGTTTAGGCCATGTCATTTGAGCCTACTTTGCAGAAAAAAAAAAAAAAAAAAAAAAAAAAAATATAAATATAATATAATATATATAATATTATATTTAGCAAATTCAATAGGGACCTCGCACAGTCGTGCTCGGGCCCTAAATATATATATAATCTTAGCAATTCAATAGGGACCTCGCACGGTCGTGCTCGGGCCCTAAATATATATAATCTTAGCAATTCAATAGGGACCTCGCACGGTCGTGCTCGGGCCCTAATAATCTTAGCAAATTCAATAGGGACCTCACACGGTCGTGCTCGGCCCTAATAATGGTATTTATTTTTGGTTTTGATCAATTTTTTTCCCACAACACCAAGGTAAAGACCTTTGAGTGTAATTGAACCTGGAATCAGTTCTGACTTTTGTTTCCTGCAACAGGATGAAGACTACCAGGAAATGGAAGAAGCCGCCCGGAAGATTGAGACCCACTACTGGCAGTTCTTTGACCACGTGATCGTCAATGACGAGCTGCAGTCCTCCTGCGTCCAGCTGCTGGCGGCAGTGAGGAAGGCGCAAGACGAGCCGCAGTGGGTCCCTGCCAGCTGGATTCGACCCAACAACGAGTCGTAAGGGGGGACAGAAGAGGAGACAAGACATTTTTGTAAATCTCATTTTACAGATTCCTCACTGTAAAAATAAAGAAGTCTACATATTTATTTTTTATTTCAATGTTGTTGTTACTTCTGTGCTTGTAATTTCCAAAAATCCCCATGAAACTGTGTCAGAGTTTAATGTTAGAAGTTTAAATTTAGAGCCAATTAGAAGTAACTACTAGTTAACAATATATTTCTTTGTACAAAAGCTAAACAGTTTGAAACAACTCAAGTGCACTTCTAAGCTTTTTAGAGCAACAGACACCAGATTTTCTGAAGTAAGCAGAGCATCAAACTCCGTTTTCTCAGTTTTCCTGCTCTGCATGCAGCTTTAATTTAGCAAAATGACCACTTGTTTGCGAGAACAAAGAACAAGACAAAAACAAGTCCAGTTCGTGCCCATTTCGCCACCCTACTACACAGACCTGCAGTAATAAGTGACATTTTTCAATTGATGTTTACATGCTAGAAGGTGGTTTCCTGTTTCTTGTTATGTGTTGTTTTTCCTTCTGAATTTGTGTCATTTCTTTGTAGTTTGTTATAGCTGGAAATTATTCAAGATATACAAAATGTTAACAAAAAATTGTGGTTGGCAAGCTCACAAATTGTACTTTGTCTCCTAGTATGTGAAAGTGCAAACAAGGTGATGACATGTTTATGTTTGTACACGTTTGTGACATTAATAAACCATTCTGATAGTATTCATTCATTTAGTAATCTGGGGCTGTATTACAGAAACTTCCTAACAGGCAGATCCTATCCTAACTGCTTGGTAACCATGGTAATAAGGGTTAGGAACTGATTTAGGAAAAGGCCATTAGAGATTAACAGTTCCTAAGTCAATGTTCCTTTCCTAACTTTAGATAAGAAAGTGTATTACAGAAGCATCCTAACTTTGTAAAATCTTAAAAAACTCTCCTAACTTTGGATGCTAAGCTGCAGGGATGCAGTATAGGGGGGGGGGGGGGGAGTTAGGACAGGGGACTTGCCAAAAAATAGGTAAAAACTAATATCAAATTATAAAACCACCATCATCATTTTCACCATCGTTTCCCTCACTTGCATGTTTTCCTTACGTCTTAGTCCCGCCCACCTGGGATGCACGGAGAGAAACCAAGCCAGGAGAGAAGGAATGTCTCGTGTTTTTAGAGACATGAGACGTCCTTTCCTCCGAAGCGTCACATAAAGCGACGTCTGTTTCTGATGACGGCGGCACCTGATCAGCTGTCAGTAGGCTCTAACAGCTTGAGAGACTTTTGATGGAGTTTGTGTCTACATACATGTGCACTGTGTTGGTACTAATAAAGTCTCACAGTTATCAGTGCAGAGCAGCATGATTCTCTGTTACCTGGTTAACAAACACAAGCAGGACATACAGTAGGCCTAGTGTATGACATGAGCAGGACATTAGTGTATGTCCTACACATTACACATTAGTGTATGTCCTGCTCAGAGGAACAGGATCATTTCTACTGGCACAATGCTGATATTATCTGCATTTATATTCTGATTGTAATTTGTATTGAATAACCCAGAATATGATCATGGTGTCGGGAAATTGAAATGATGTAGGCCTAACTTGTAGGCTATCAAAGTTGACGCTCAGTTTCAGGCTTTCCGTTTATTTCTTCTTGTGATATCCTTTAACACTACTGGATACATTTTATTTGCAAGTCACATCACTTGTCATCGATCGATCGCTGCGTTCCATTATATCAATCCGCAGTTTAGTGACTTGTCCTACTCCTCAGTGTACTATGTTTTATCGTCGTCTATTTGGACTAAACACAGGAATGAACAGCCTCACGTGACTGAATAGAAATGACGATGAATGATGTAAAACGTGTTTCTTGCTGACAGACTCCCGACTCCCTTTGACTTTAATTGTCTCCATAATAAAAGTTGATGGGGAAATAAAAGAAAGAAAACTCTTTCTAATAAATAAATAAAGTTGCGTGTGGGGATTTTGTTGTTCCGACCTACAATGAACTCAGATTTTAAGTAGACAGTGAATCATAAAAAAAATCAAATATAGCCTAACACTTTCCAGTAATGCACTTGAGTTCAATGTTATCTGTCCTGATGTATCAGTCCAATCAGCTGCAGCGTCCAATCAATATAACGGCTACACAGTATGGGGGCGCGTTGGTCAGTAAAAGACTTCTGCGAAGGATGCACTGGTGTATCCTCGCTCATAGCTCCTCAGAGATCGCTCCTCGATCCTCGCTCCTCAGAGCGCAAAAAAGAGCTTTGGGAACGGCCTGCAAGATGGCGGAGCGGAAAAACTTCCGGTTCAAGCGAGGATCGAGGCGCAAGGAAACGACAAATAAGAGACTTGGGAAGCACCCAGTGACGGTTTAGTTGCAGTCGGGCTCTGGTTGCAGTCAGATGCACCAGAAATACAGTGATCACAATGTTGCCTAGTAAACCAAAATCTGGTCTTCAAAAAAGGAATGAGAGAAAAGAGAGAGAGGAAAGACAAAGGAAAGGATGTTAATGTATAACACAGTTTTTCACCAAGAAAAGTGTCTGTGAGTGGTGTTAACCTGTTGGCTTAATGTCCACAGTGAAATAAGCTAGCTAGCTATAGACTAGTGTTAGCCTACATTTCATCAACATTTAATCAGTGCAGGGAAACGTTTAGCAAGAAATTCATATTTAGGGCCCGAGCACGACCGTGCAAGGTCCCTATTGAATTTGCTAAGATTATATTTAGGGCCCGAGCACGACCGTGCGAGGTCCCTATTGAATTTGCTCAGATTATTAGGGCCCGAGCACGACCGTGCGAGGTCCCTATTGAATTTGCTCGGATTATTAGGGCCCGAGCACGACCGTGCGAGGTCCCTATTGAATTTGCTCGGATTATATATATATATTTTTTTTTTTTTTTTTTTCTGCAAAGTAGGCCCAAATGACATGGCCTAAACATACTCGAAAACTCACCAAAATTTGCAAACATGTCAGAACCGGTGAAAAATTTCGTATTCTACAAGTTTCGCACATGGGCGTTGCAAATGACTCGCTAGCGCCACCTAGAAAATTGGAAAAAATTAGCCCCTCGTTCACGTTCAACCTACATCTACGAAATTTTCTGGGGACATGTATCATGTCAAGACGCACAAAAAAGCCTCAAGAACCCATAGCCTAAAGTCAACAGGAAGTCGGCCATTTTGAATTTTATGGCCATTTTGGATGATTTACACACTTCGTACTTTAACGAACTCCTCCTAGGGATTTAGTCGGATCGACGTCAAATTTCTGCTGTGCCTTCTAAAGGCATTGACGATGAAAAGTTGTGCTATTTGCGAGTTTTCGTCAATGGGCGTGTCCGTGGCGTCGATGATTCGCTATGAAACAGGAAGTTGTTGTAACTTCAGTGTACATGCTCACATCTGAACCAAACTTTACGTGCTTGATAACTCTACCACCCGCTAGGAGGACTGATCCTGACACAGTCAGAAATAAATACAGAAATAAATAAATGCTCAAAAATAAATAAGCATCCAATTAAATACACAAAAAAATAAAGTAAATTAAAGCTGCAAGCAGCGTTGGGCGGGCCCTCGCACTTGTAGCGCGTCCGCGTGTGAGCCGGCCGAGTTGCATATTCTGGAGCTCTGCCGGTGCGGCTGTGAATTTCCTACGCAGTTCCGACGCCGCATGAAGGTGTTATATGTCACTTCCTGTGTCCCCTATGTGGAGCTACATAGCACTTCCCACTATGAATATAAATCGGTATTGGTGTGTAGATGTCTGCGGGGTGGGACAGTTATCAAGCACGTAAAGTTTGTTTCAGATGTGAGCATGTACACTGAACAATAATGTACCCAAACAATAAAATAAATTCCTTTATATTTCCCTGCCTTGTTGTTTATGTGTACATACAGAGGAAGAATGTGAGAACAGCACAATTTCATCGTTACTGTGTGCTGTACCGCAGTTCTGTGTCCATGCATGCAGCAAACTGAAAGCACTGTCTGTCGGAGCGTCTACAAGAAAAGAGAAGGAATACATTTCTGGTAGTGTCTTCAGAGTTGTTAAACACCTCAGTGCACTGAAGGAAGCCATCTGACTGTGTGAGGGGCAAGATTGTTGATGTCTGCAGGCAGAGTAGGAGCTCTTGTCTGACTGGTCCAATAGTAGAGAAGATGACCCCTTGAGTTATCAAGCACGTAAAGTTTGGTTCAGATGTGAGCATGTACACTGAAGTTACAACAACTTCCTGTGTCATGGCAAAGACTTGATCTTTGACGCCACGCCACGGACACACCCATTGACGAAAACGCAAATAGCACAACTTTTCATCTTCAATGCCTTTAGAAGGCACAGCACAAATTTGAAGTCGGTCGGACTAAATCCCTAGGAGGAGTTCGTTAAAGTACGAAGTGTGTAAATCATCCAAAATTTGACGTAAAATTCAAAATGGCCGACTTCCTGTTGATTTTAGGGCATCGCTCCAAGAGGCTTTTTTGTGCGTCTGGACAAGATACACGTACCACAGAAAATTCGTGCATGTAGGTGAAACGTGCGGCGGGGGCTGCTTCGTTAAAAGTCACTTCCTGTTGCCAGCAGGTGGCGCTATGACTGTGGGTGAATTCAGCATGTACATGTGTTCAGGGCGGGACTCTCATCCTACATGTACAGTTTGGTCCAGATGTGAGCATGTACACTGAAGCTACGACAACTTCCGTGTCATGGCGAAGAGTTGATCTTTGACGCCACGCCACGGACACGCCCATTGACGAAAACTTGCAAATAGCACAACTTTTCATCTTCAATGCCTTTAGAAGGCACAGCAGAAATTTGAGGTCGGTCGGACTAAATCCCTAGGAGGAGTTCGTTAAAGTACGAAGTGTGTAAATCATCCAAAATTTGACGTAAAATTCAAAATGGCCGACTTCCTTTTTTAGGCATTGCTCCAAGAGGCTTTTTGTGCGTCTGGACAAGATACACGTACCACAGAAAATTCGTGCACGTAGGTGAAACATGCGGCGGGGGCTGCTTCGTTAAATGTCACTTTCTATTGCCAGCAGGTGGCGCTATGACTGTGTGGGAATGGGCATGTACATGTGTTCAGGGCGGGACTCTCATCCTAGATGTACAGTTTGGTCAGATGTGAGCATGTACACTGAAGTTACAACAACTTCCTGTTTCATGCGAATCATCGACGCCACGGACACGCCCATTGACGAAAACGCGCAAATAGCACAACTTTTCATCGTCAATGCC